AGATTCTAAAATTGGTCCTGTGGTGATGAGCAAAAGAATTAAATTTGAATGGATCTGCAAATAAATATCAGAAATATTTTCAAGTATATATTCAATAATTGATATAAAAAAGAAAATAAAAATCTTCAACTGGTTCCATGAAAAATAGTTATGTTAGATTTAAATTATTTATGATTACTAAAAATGGATAAGATAAATTATCTTGAGATCTGAGATTTATTGATCAACTAAAACAGAGATTATACTAAAACATTAAAACAGATCTTTTTATCTTAGAATTAATGCACAATGTAGTCTTCTGAGATTTTTGCTGAATGTATCATTTGATCTAATAAAGAAATTTTAAAATATATAAATATGATAGATTTTGGACTGAGTTTGATGTATCAAAAAAAATAATTATTACAAACTAGTGATTTTGATTTCTAGTGACTTTGTCACCTGTGTACTGATACACCAATATTAAATATACATATTAAAAATAAATTTTTTTTTACAACAAAAAATTTGTAATCATTCATGGCATGCTTCGCATGCTCAACTATAACTTTTTTAAAGCATTATATTGTTTATTTGGAAGAGTACACATTTTTATTTTTTTAGTAAAATAATTGACAAGTGTTTACAAAAAAAATAATTGGAAATAATGGTCTAATACCAAATTTAGTTAAAATATTATATCAATAGTTCATGGAGTGGATTAGATTTTTATCATCAAAGATTTTTAAAAAAATCAGTGTTTTTAATATTTGATGTCAACACAGCAAAAATTGTTCACTACAATGTTTTACCTTTTGATTTTGCTCTTGTGCTTCCCAAAAAAATCAATTTAATAAAGCCAAGGAACAAAGACCATTTTGATATCAAATATATAATAATAAATATAATAAAAACAGCCTGAAAAAGATTTCCTTTTTGGAACAACAGTTGGTTAGTGAGTTTTAAAAGGCTTTCACAAATAAGAAAAAAATCGCAAGATTTTCAAAAAGGTTTATATTAAAAAAAAAATTATTCCAGAATTAGAAATTTTTTTCACACCATTATATTATCCCTTAAACGAAATTGCACGCAATTTACAATTCAAAGTTTTTATCACGAATAAAAGTTTTTCAATTTGATCTTGAGTGTAGCATGTACTTAATGAAAAATGTTTCTGGAAACCATTCTCATTCATCAGCACAATTTGACTCATTTATGGAAAATGTATTCCATAAATTTTCTGAAAACTCCAAAAATTCCGAAATTCTGAAATTCAACACAAAATCTTTTTTAAATGAAAAAACTTGACCCAAATTTCCTATAAATTTGCAAAAGCATGGGGCGCCTTCAGATAAGTAAAAATTAATTTTAATCATTTTTTGAAAATAATCATTTTTGAAAATAGTCAAATATTCAACAAAATTATTCAATTTTATTTCAAATTTTCGTAAAGAAACTAAAATGAATCCGATTGAAATCCAAGAACAATCTATGGATATTTCTGAAGATAATGAACCAATTTTTGAAGATTATGATGATGAAACTAGTTATTACATTGCTAATATGACAATAAGACTAGGCGGAATTTGCAACGAATTAAATAAATGATGATGAATTAATTGAAAGTTCTAGTGATTTAGAAGTAAACAATGATGAATATGATGAGGATGGTGAGACGAAATAATGGAAGACTCAACTTTTAAAAGAAGAGTTAGAAGTGGGACTAAAACAAGAAGCAGCCGTGGAAGAAGAATGGGAAGAGAAGGAAAGTCTAAAAGGTCTGAAAGTCGTTCTTTTATTTATTGTAGTGCATGTAATGTTGCTTATGTTGTTCCTTAATTAGAAATTGTTTTTTAGATTATCATAAAGTAGTTAATATACGTTATTTGTTTCATTCAATTATTAATTATTACGGGTATAATAATTTATTGATTTGTTACACAAACTTGAAGATATGCACATAAAAATACTTTATATCTAAATCACGTTACTTCTTCTAATCAAAATAGCGAATTAGAACATGTATTATCACATATAATACGGATTTGGAACTGGTTTCGAAGAATAAAATTTTTTACTAATTGCAACTTTTAAAAAAATTAATTTTTGAGGTTTTTTGAAAAATACATTTATTTCGTTATTAATAATACTTCTGTAAAATTATAATAATTTATTTAATGAGCGTTTGTACACAAAACCATACCTTTTTTCTATTAAAAAATCTCAAAAAAATATAGGGTCAGTTAATAATTTATTTGTTTAGTAGGGGTCTACATTTTTTCAAAAATTGCGTGCCGATTAGCACACAATTCTTGTACGTTTAAGGAATAAATACCATTGGAATTTGTAAGGTGAAATTCCAAGACGAAGAGGTAGGTTTCTTTACAATATGGTGTGGTTATATCCTAACAATCTGCAATTTTTTATCCGCATTAAGTATAAGTTCACGATTTGTCTTTGAGGATGGTAGAATAATGAAAATTTTATAAAAATAGAACAAATTTTCCTAAATAAATTCGTTTACAACTTGGAGCAAAGGTGATTTTGAACAATCACAAACCCAGCATCAGGTATGCAATGGAAATGTTGGCATAATTACCGATGTTGACATTGAACACAATAATGTAAGAATTGTGGACATGATAACTTCAAGACAAACATCCCACGTCTTGCTTGATGGGCAAGACCCAATTTCCTTTGCAGAATGCCTATGCTTCGATCGCTCATAAACCCAAGACTCGACATTCCAGATCTATTACTTTGCGAGGGTGTAAAATTAATACACTTACTAGGGGTGCTTTCAAAATTGACCAATCAATGATCAAAGAATAAGAGCGTATGGAAAAAATTGCAACAAAACCATTATCTTGTATGATAGAGAGTAGCACTCGTCGGTTTGCAAATTTGGTCGTGGCTAAATGTGATGACCTATAAATTTCTTATCTATAAAAATGGACTACATATTGATTGGTATTAATATTATGTAATATAAGAAAAAAAACATCCAAATTTGCAATTTTCATTTATAGGGATGTGACATACCAGTCATTTAAAGCAATAGATTGATATCTTTTATATACAAAGAAACAATAGTAATTTCTTTGTTCGCCAAAGAAAAATTTTGGGTCAACACTATTATCATCATGTATAGTCAAACTTTACCACAACGGATGTATGAGACAGAGACATAAGAGAATTTTATCTAAAGTCAGTTATATTATATAACGTGCCTGTAATATTATAATTATGCGTAATTCCGACAGTGCTATGATTTTGTAAACTTTATTATTAATTAATTATTTAATTATTCAATTTTTGGGGAAGAAAAGAAAACAAGAAAATTGTTTACGGATAATCTGTTATGATTATAGCCTTTTACTTTGCAGCTATATATTAATATACATCCACGGCTTTACGAATGACAATACGTAACCGTATTACTTTTGACCAGCAACTCCAGCGGCAAGCATAGTATGAGAAAATGGTGTGTAGTAATTGTGAAAATGAAAATAGGAAGGAATTTGAAATGATGTAACTTTTATTAATATTTACCGATAATATTTATATAGATCGTAGTAACAGCATTGAAAACATAGACCAAGATCAAATCAAAAACATCAATGGTGATTCCTCAACATCTTCAAAATCTCTCAGAATCACTTCCGTTTTCTCAAATTTATAATTAATTTATATCTCCTTTATTATAAACGTGTAAGCAAATTAAAAAAACATCTCTATGAAATTACCGTGATCTACATAGTACAACAATCAAACTCAAACATTCATTCTCGACTTTCTTAAAATCTATGGGAAGTGATATTTCCTTTAACATCTATTTTTAACACACATATATATATTAATATACATACACACATACACAACACATACATATATATACTAATTAGTATATATATATAAGCAAGAAAGAAAATATTTATTTAATATTAACTTGATTATCCTTATCAGGATCCGAGTATCTCATTCAGTCTACAAAGTCTGTTCTTGTTTTTCTTTGAAGATTATCTAATCTATGGTCCCCTTGAAATCACATGTAAAAAAGAATACCTTCCTTCGAATTTTTTTGGGAACATTACATTGTATAATCGTCACGAGTCATCACGTTTTAAAAAAAAAATTTTCGAAAATTTTGAGATGATGACGATAATGATAATGCAATTGATTGATTGATAAAAAAAAAAAATTAAATTTGTAATCAATATTGATTTTTTTTTGATTACAAATTTAATTTTTTTTTTTAAATAGGGAACAATGTCTTTTTCAAAACATTTTAAACTTTTTTTTTGCAAAATAAAAAATAATTTAATAAATTGAAAAAAAAAAATCGAAAAAAATTTTATAATTAATAATAAACAATGCCACCTAATACCGAACACACCCCATCCAATAATACCACCCTCCACGATAATAATTTCATAGTCAATTCACCTAATGTTATTTATTCGGACACACACATTATATCAAGTTATGTATATAATAGTTCTATTGTCAGTAAAAATAATGGAGTTAGCATGATAACGCCAACGGAAACAAAATACACCTTTAAAACAGAATTAAAGGTGCCAAAAACGGGGTAGATATCTTTTTTTGTAATTTTTTATTTTTTATTTTTTTTTGAGGTGAGGTAAAGAAATTCATTTAATAAAGAAATAAATCAATTCAAAATTGACAAGGCTAATGATGGTTGGATGGGGAGGCAATAACGGTTCAACATTGACTGCTAGTATTATTGCCAATCGTCGAAATATTAAATGGAAAACTAAGGATGGAATACAGTCACCAAATTATTTTGGTTCACTTGTTCAAGCCTCCACGCTCAAACTTGGTGTTGATGAAAAAGGCAATGATGTTTATGTTCCTTTTAATAAGATACTTCCGATGGTAAACCCTAATGATTTGGTCATAGGCGGCTGGGACATTAACTCTTGTAATCTTGCTAAAGCCATGGAACGTGCAAAAGTACTTGATTATGACCTTCAGCGTCAACTAGCTCCTGAATTAGAAAAATTTAAACCGTTACCTTCAATTTATTATCCTGATTTCATAGCTGCAAATCAGAGCGACAGAGCCGATAATCTTATTTCTGGAAACGATAAGAAACAACATCTTGAACATATTCGTAATGATATTAGAAAATTCAAATTAGATAACCAGCTTGATAAAGTGATTGTGGTTTGGACCGCAAATACAGAACGTTATTCCTCAATTATTCCTGGCATTAATGACACTGCTGCAAATCTAATTGAAGCTGTTAGACAGAACCATTCTGAAATAGCTCCATCAACAATCTTTGCATTAGCTTGTATTCTAGAAAAAACACCGTTCATAAATGGCTCGCCACAAAATACATTTGTACCAGGTTGTGTTGAATTAGCAGAAAAAGAACAAGTTCATATTGGTGGAGATGATTTTAAATCTGGCCAAACTAAAGTTAAATCGGTGCTGGTAGACTTTTTGGTGAATTCTGGTATTAAACCGGTTAGTATAGCTTCCTATAATCATCTTGGAAATAATGATGGCAAAAATTTGTCTGCGCCTGATCAATTTCGATCAAAAGAAATTTCTAAAAGTAGTGTTGTCGACGATATGGTCGCTGCTAATCATATTCTATATAAACCAGATGAACATCCAGATCACAGTATGTATTTTAATATTATTGATTGATTAATTAATAATAATGATAATATTTATATTTATTTATTTAACACAATAGTTGTCGTGATCAAGTATGTTCCAACTGTAGCTGATTCGAAACGAGCTTTGGATGAATATGTCTCTGAGATTTTTATGGGTGGAAAGAATGTAAGTCAAAATATTTTATTGATGAATTTTTGAAATCATTCTAATTATTAATCATTATTATTACTGTTACTATTAATCAATTACCAGACAATCTCGTTGTACAACACTTGTGAAGATTCACTATTAGCATCACCATTGATTTTAGATTTAGCCATTATCACTGAATTGATGACACGTATTCAATATCGTACGGACAACATGTTAAACTATTCACCATTTGATTCTGTTTTATCAATTCTAAGCTTTTTATTGAAAGCACCATTGGTACCAAAAGGTACACCAGTTGTCAACTCGTTAAATAAACAAAGATCAGCATTGGAAAATATTTTTAGAGCGTGTATTGGTTTGCCACCTCAAAATGATATGTTGTTAGAATACAAAGCTCCGGTATATGGACCTTCTAATGGTATTAACGCTAATGGTACTAATGGTGTTGCTAATGATATTAGTATTAATGGTACTAATGGTGTTGTTAATGGTATTAGTACTAATGGAACTGGTAACGATGATAAAGGTAATGTAGGGAAAAAAAACCCCCATTGAAAAGCGATATTTTGTTAGTTAAATAAAAATCGAGTTGTGCAATTTTGTTAGAAATTAGAATTATAAAAAAAAGTATCGACTCGATGGTCAGCGTAAATAATCGAATAAACGTTTAATATAATGTTTATTTAAGTAAATCGATGTTGTGCATTAAATAGGAAAATGTTTACTGAAATGAATTTGTACATATAATAATGTTGGACCGATTGTTATTGATAATTTTATGATGTTTAAAAGACAAATTAAGATTTTTCGAAATTTTTAAGAAAGTCGCACTTGAACTTGGGAAATGTTTCGTTTGTTCTCAAATGTATATACATTTAAATTTTCATAATTATTTGTTGAATATTTGAATATTTAAAACGTAATAACGTAATGAATTTTTTATGTAAGATGATTATCAATAGTGACAAAATTTAATGCAGATCTTTTTTATGCTGTGCAACAACGTATTTCAATTGTTTTAAAATAGAAAAGGCTGGTTATGACACAAGTGATTAAAAACTACTTGTAAAACGATGATGTTTTGCTTGAATATACTTTTCGTTAGTTAAAAGGCTTGGGCAAAAAGATCAAGAGAGATCATTGATTTTGAAGGATTTTAATATGTACCGAATTTTTTTCAATTTTTATAATTTTATACAAAAAATAAAAAAAAATTTATTAATCTTGAAAGGTAATCCTCAAAGAAAAACAAAACTAGATTATAAACTAATAGACAGGTAAAGAAATAATATATGTAACACACTGGGGTTGGTCACAATGGAACAGGAGAGACCGTTCTGGGAACACAAAATTAACAGGAGGGAACACAAAATTTTAACCCATGCAATTTGTTGATTGACCAATTAAAATCGTGAATTTGATAATGTAAAAATAAATGTTGGTTTGATTCATTTTGTCAACAATCACTTCACCAACAATTGTTTCGTTAACGAATTTAAGAAATTAGAAGCAACCATATGACAAACCATTGAAATAGTCTAATAAATTAGATTGTACTACTCAAAAATGTATTTAAAGGGTTGGTTTTCAACTTGGTTGAAGAATAACTCTCTTCTAACTCTTCTCTTGACCATATCTCTCGATATAATCAAAATAACCTTAATATAATGAATGTCAACGAAATGGCTGTAAACACAACCAATTAAGTTATACAATTAAAACAAGACATAAACAATGTGAACGATGTATGAAAAAACAAATTTATTAATAAAAAATAAAATTTACAACTCAAAAAATGGTTTTTTTGCATTTTCTAATAAAATTTCCATTGTTGCTGCATCATCTGTTGCTGATTCAACATTACCCAGATCATCATCAACTGTATTTTTGTTAGTTTCAATAAATTCATTTTCGTTTAATCTTTTCGTCATACTTTCTTTTAGTGCGTTGACATTTTTTTTGATTTCGACTTGAAGATAGTCCAAGCATATCAAACATTTAGATTGGCACTTTTGTAGACAATGATTGTGATAACCATGTCCACACGCAAGTACACTACAATTATTCAAATTAGTATAGTTAGAGTTAGTGTAATCACAATATACGTAATCGCAAAAAATGTTTGTAGATGGTTTCTTAGAAGTAACGAAGCCTCTTGGAAGGTGACGATTGGTTATTTCGTAAACTAAAGAAGGAAATTTGTATGAGTTAATACCATTAGATGAAGTTTTAGTAATTAAAGGATACTGATTTTGTGCTTGATATATCTTTGCAAACACATCCAAAAGCAATACAGCACACTTTCGTGTAAGCATATGCAATTGCTTCGGTGTATATGGATATTTCACAGAATTTATGAAATGTTGTCTAAAAGTATTATCCTCTCGATGTTGAAAAATAAAACGTGCCTCCTTTTGCAGTTGTTGTGCAGTGGAAAACTTAGCTGTACGTCATCGAATAATACTGTGAATAATTTCTACAGGACTATCACTTAAAGAGGCGAGATGATTAGTAACCATATCAATCATTGGATGATTTGTCTCCATCCAATAAAAGACATCAGAAAAAAACATTAAAGGTGCACGCTTATAATTTCTCCGATCAAACCGAAGAAAAAGATCACTCCAGCAACGCATACAAGCTTCTTCATAAGCCAGCCAGTTACCTTCTCGATGGTGCACTGCGTAAACGTCAAGAACTAAAGGAATTAAATTGCTCAAAAGATCGGTTAAATATAAAAATTCGATGTTTTTGCATGTACGATCAAACTTAGAATAAACAATATCATCTATATCAAGCCATGCCATGCGCATGATGTGAAGAATTAAATCAATTCGCCATGGCCGTGGCTTCTTACCAAGATTCTTACGATTTCCAAATAGTCCTTTATAAATATCGTTAAATAAAAACGAATTTTCCTTAAATACGAGTTCACGACCATTTAAAGACACATGAAGAGGACCCTGGCTGTGGCTTCTTACCAAGATCCTTATGATTGCCAAATAGTCCTTTATAAATATCGTTAAATAAAAATGAATTTTCCTTAAATACGAGTTCACGACCATTTAAAGACACATGTAGAGGGCCCATAATAGGTAAAAATGCTGTAACGAATGAAGGAATAGTTTCGTTGTTGTTAAGCCGATGTACAATAGCTTTACGAATGAAAAACTGTCCAGGCCAGTCCGCGACAATAGGAATTGCGTAATTAGAAAGATATGCTTGCATTGGTTCTTGATCATGTACGATTTGGAGAGCTTTTGTGTAATCTTCCACACCTTTCAAATTGCTTTCAACAAAATCGAAGAGGATAGCATTCTGTACATGTCGATCGGTCTTTTTTTCCACTAACCTATCATTGTAACTATGCAATGTTAGTCTTTCCATGAGCTCATCATCAGAACATTCGTTACCTATATAGTCTTGCATGCAATCATTATAAGAGACACCAAGATTTGTGATAAATCGGTAATCAAGATGTTTCATAATCAACTCATCGTCAAAGATTTTTGGATTCAATGCCCCATTACGTGGTATTGCTAACATGTTGGGACATGGATTTGTTACAATAGTTGCCATATGTGCCACCCAAGATGTAGTAGTAGTATCATGTTGTTTCGGGATGTGAATGTTATGATAATCATCAACATTCAACATGAATGCACTTTTTGAATATTTTGTAAGTGCATTCTCTACATATTTATTATGTTCATCTGCAACTTGCTTCTTTTTACGATCTACTGCTCTTGATGTTGTGGTTGCTCCAAGGTTTGCCATTGTATTTAGGCCTTCATTACTTGTACCTACCGAATCTAAATAGAATGCAAGGTCGAACTTAAAAGAGTTAATTTTTGTATTGTTTAATGAAGCAAGAAGATAACATATGAACACCATTAATCTCTTCATATGGTCCATTGTTTGTTCATTACGTTCAAGTGGCCGAGCTGCTAAATAGAGTTGGTCAAAAAACCCCTTCAAGCTTGGTTCTATTTCTTGGAGCAATCTTCGCATTTCATCAAATTCATATATAGGACCTTCTTTATTTTCTCTTTCATAAAAGATTTTAGCAATCATCTTGATGGCTCTAGTGAAATCAATCTTTTCACTTACCTCTTCCTCTTCCTCTTCCTCATTCGTTTCCCCTTCCTCATCTGTAGCTTTTACACTCCTAGATCCTCTTTTTAAAGGATTTTCTACAAAATTCATATAACAAATGTTACATAAAACAACACCTTCTGTCCACATTACCTTCACTAAGTTATTATTCTCAGCTTCTTTCCATTTATTACCTTTCAGTTGACGAAATTTAGCTGATTTAATGGTTTTACATTCTGTGCAATGTTTAATTTCAGACATTTTTTCTTCGAGTAAATCGTATTATGAAAGTTGTGGGATTCAAAGGGATTCAAAAGATATGATAACAACAAAGTGTAAAGCTTCAAATTTGTGTAATTATTTGCACATGATTTATTGTAAGAATGGGCTACGTAATACCCTTGTAAAAGTATTCTAAACTGTATAAAAAAAATTGAAATCAATTGTGAACATCCTTTCCTTATATAGGACGGTCTCTCCTGTTTCACAATGGTTGATCATCAAAAATAATAAACATCAATAATAAATATATGCGGATTTTTTAAATGTTATTTTGAAATTTTTGTAACACCTCCAAAATAGTAAAAATCAGTAAAATTGACAACTTTGAACCTTTATAAAAAAATTCTCTACTAATACAAATAAAAAAAACTCACTGATAGACTATTAATTGAGTGTTTTTAAATACAATTGCGGAAAGATTATTCACGTAGCTTGCTTGGTTACCGAGCCTTTACATTTTAAATTCACATTTTTTATAGTAAAACTCGATAAAATTGACAACTTTAAACTTTTATAAAATTTTTTTTTACTAATATAAATGAAAAAAACTCTTTGATAGGCTATTAATTGAGTGTTTGAAAATAGAATTGCGAAATATTATCTACACAACTTGTTTGGTTATTGAGCCTTTAGGTTTTAAAAGTATCTAAATTTCCATTGTTTATAGTAATAGTAAAATCAATAAACTTGATAACTTTTGAACCTTCACAAAAATTTTTTTTACTAATATAAGTGAAAAAAACTCTCTGACCAGTCATTAATTGAGTGTTTTTAAACAAAATCGCGGAAGGATTATTCCCACAATTGTTTAAAGTTTATCTAAATTTCCATCATTAATAGTAAAATCAACAAAATTGGTAACTTTGAACCTTCACAAAAAATTTTTTTTACTAATATAAATGAAAAAAACTCTCTGACAAGTCATTAATTGAGTATTTTTAAACAAAATCGCAGAAGGGTTATTCTTACAGCTAGTTTGGTTATTGAGCCTTTACGTTTTAAAGTTTATCTAAATTTCCATCATTAATAGTAAATCAACAAAATTGATAACTTTGAACCTTCACAAAAAATTTTTTTACTAATATAAATGAAAAAAAACTCTCTGATCGGTTATTAACTGTGTGTTTGAAAATATAATCGCGGAAAGATTATTCCCACAGCTAGTTTGGTTATTGAACCTTTAGATTTTGAAATTTATCTAAATTTCCATTGTTTATAGTAAAATGACAACTTTGAACCTTTACAAAAAAAATTTTTATTAATAAAAATGAAAAAACTCTCTGATCGGTTATTAATTGAGCATCTGCAAATACAATCACAGAAGGATTATTCCAACAGCTTGCTTGGTTATTGAGCCTTTATGTTTTAAAGTTTAAATAAATTCCCATTGTTTATAGTAAAATCAATAAAATTGATAACTTTGAACCTTTACAAAAATTTTTTTTACTAATATAAATGAAAAAAACTCTCTAATAGGCCCTTAATTGAGCATCTGCAAATACAATCACGAAAGGATTATTCCAACAGCTTGCTTGGTTATCGAGCCTTTACATTTTAAAGTTTAAATAAATCTTTGATTATTTACTATCCCTTAAATGGTCACATTAATAAATTTCGGATTTTTTAATGGAACACAAAATTTAAAAATTGAATGTAGCACAAAAATTTAATTGACGTTTTTAAATGAACTTGATATTAATAATGTTATATTTCTTTTAATGTGTGAAATTTCATCATCACCATCATCGTTTGTTTCATATTCTTCAT